CCCCAAAACCCCAAAACCCCAAAACCCCTAAGGGATGGAGGCGGATTGGGGAGTTAATAAACTTTTTCGTATGAAGAGTCGTTATGTTCGCTATCAATCTCAAAGTCATCTTCTTCATAACCGTCGTCTGAATCATCCTTCTGCACAGTTTCTTCGGTTTGAGTATTAGAATGGCTTTGACTTTCTTCTGTAATTTCGTCTACCATTTGAATATTGAGGGGAGAATTTGATAAGGGAGAAGAGGCTACAAAGTCTTCATCAGAATAACCAAGACTCTTTTGAGGGCTCATTTGTTGTTCCTCGTTTAAATCATTGCTAGGAGATCCCTTATGGTTAGCCTGATCGTCATTTACCTCTCATGATGGATCTTCTACTATAAGCTCTGATTTAGAATGGGTTTTATATTGCTTGTTATTTTCAGTCAGAATTAGAATGCTTCTTAGTTATAAACGTCTTACTAATAGGCCTAAATATAAAGAATAAAGAGTTGATGAATTCTCAGAAGTATACTCTATGTCCTAACGGATTTCTATGGACCTAGTGTTGATTTGGTTGTTAAATCAGGTTTAGTCGCTCTAAATTAGCCAACCATAAATATTTATACAGCATTTCGATATGTTTTCATTTCTAGCAACTATTTTGATACATTTGTTGTTGAAAGTTAGCATCATTTTTACCTAACTCAAATGGTGATAATTGTTTGGGACTTTGCTCAAGAACGAGCTCTGACTGTTCAGGTTTCTCAATTTTTTGTTGTTTAAGCTGGTGCTCAGGTCCTTTAATCTCTTCTTGTTCTATCAATTCTTCCTCATATTTCTCAGTCTATGTTGTCAAATCTTGAAATATACTGAAAAAATTTTATTGGGAGAGTTTTTTTCTTTCGTCATAGAATTTTCAACTTTCGGTGATTCCTGATGCTTAATTTGGTTCTTTTTCTTAGGATCAGACTTAGAAAGATTTAAATGTCCGGTATCTCCAGCCTGTTGAATACGGTTCAAAGACTTAACTGTAACTTTATCCCAAGCGTTGTACACATCCATGTCATGCTCGACCTTCCTGAGCATGCTAAAGGGGTAATATTTGGACTTTACTGTAGTTTATTTACTCTCCTCTTTAGCTTGGAGGGACCGTTTGCTTACCATATCATACTTCAGCTGTAAATAATTCCTATAACTCTGATCTTCAATGGTATGTTTCTTGCGTAGCTTATTAAGCTGTTTCTCTCTCTCTTTCTCTATTTGAGCTCTGTTCTTCTCAAAAATTTCCTTATTTGACCTGATTTACCTTCCTATGATGCTTTAGTTCAACCTTTTTAGACTTTTGGGTTTCTTTGACCTGTAAAGCTCTGATTTGGTCTTTCCTTAAAAGCTCATTTTTCTTCTCTTCCCATGCTATGGAGTAAGCGGTTGCCTAGAAGCCCGTACCTTCAGTGTAATTGACCAATAAAGGCTGCTTATGTGCAATCTTTTCCTTCTTCATTAGCATATTTTGGGTGAACTTCTCTTCAGCTTTCTGAAGCAACTCAAATTTGTGCTGTAAGTTTCGTTCCTTGCATTTTTGGATTAGCTTCTCACGCTTAAATTTGTTGTCCCGATGCTTCTCAATCTCTGTGTTATTTTGACTTTAAATGCTCAATTTTGGCGTTTTGGAGCGAGCTCTTTATCTCTAGAATGTGAGGAGAGGTTGTACTTTCAGCCTTGGATTGTTGCATTTTTAAGTTCTTGAAATATTCCTCCTTCTCTTCGTCACTGAGAAGCTTCTTTTGGTTGTTATAAAGAGTTTTTAGAGACTTTTGATGAACACTTGGTACAGATTTTAGCCGCTTGCTAGCTGCTCGGAAGGTAGATTGTGAAAGATTAGACCGGACATCGAAATATCTGGAATTTGGGGGAAGTTTTTTGCTCATTTTCTTTTCAAATTCTTTCTGTTCCTCTTCTCTTTCTCGAACTAGCTTAGCCATATCTTCTTTAGACTTATTTGAGCTCTTTGATCTCTCTTCTCTCCTACAAAGTCACTACTAGAATTACCTGAAGTTGTTGCTTATTTATTTTGTCATCATATCTAATGATCTAAATGATTATATTACCTTCTTTTAATCTCTAAATTATTAAGATTTGCCATTACCTTCGGAGGTTTGTCTACGCTCCTTCTCTATTTTCTTGAGTTGGGCCTCCTTCTCTTTCATTTTTTCATAAATTTCCTGTGCTTGCATGGTCTCTCTAGCTCGTTCAGCGATCTTCCTGACCTTGAAGTTGATAATTTTGTCAGTGCAGGTCTGGGCCCTGAATGTGAGGGTGAGTATTTACCTGAGGTTCGCCTCCTGAATCTTTTTCAACACCTTCTGTTCTTGACGCAACCGTAAATAATCAATATTCGTCAACGAACTATTCTTTGAAAACTTAACTGAGGTTCTTATGTAAACTTTTTCTGTTTTGCGAGCCTCTCCACGGTATGGCTTGATTTCAATTCCCGAGGTTGATAAAGTTTAGATGGTGGATCTCTACCATGTGACTGAGAGGTAGCCTCTCTCCTTGAGTTAATATTGATATGCAACCTTCTGTATTTCCTAGCGGTGCTCTTTAAAGATACGAGATTTCCATTTTGTGCCTTTGCAGTCTTGGGAACTTTCTTTTCCCCAATTTGTTCTTTACGTAATTTAATTAACTTAATCAAAGCCAATCTTTTTGACTCGTGGTAGTCGAACCTTATTTTTGCTATATTCTCAGAGGAGCTCTTCTTAGTGAGACCCTTCAAGGATATAGGCTTTAGCTGGAAGGGATTTATGTTCTCCAACATTCACGCTCGTAGTGAAAGAGGAGAGCTAAGTTGTAAATTCTTAGGCTGTCTTTTCTCCATCGCAGCCAATTTAGCCTCAAGCTCAATGTCCTCAATGCTGATCTTCTTGATATCCAGGGGGGATTGAGCAACTACTCTGGCCATTCCTGTGATATTAGTTGTGAGAACATAATTGGTAAATGAAGTTGAATATCATGTTGAAACTTACCGAACTGAGAATCGGATTTCGAATATTCCATAACTATATTTTATTTCAATAATCTCTTATACTTTGGGGTTTTGGGGTTTTGGGGTTTTGGGGTTTTGGGGTTTTGGGG